GTAGTAACAGTACTCTGATGATGTGACGTTACTGTAGTAACAGTACTCTGATGATGTGACGTTACCGTAGTAACAGTACTCTGATGATGTAATGTTACCGTAGTAACAGTACTCTGATGATGTGACGTTACTGTAGTAACAGGACTCTGTTGAATTACTGCTAGTTGTGTGTTTTAGTACTTTGCAAGGTAAAATCGTTGTTCTATAAAATGTTACAGGTTTTACGAAAGGAAATAATCATATAAAACAAATGATATACAATATCTTGAATAATTCGAGGTTCTTATATACTGCTTTATCACAACCTAGTGCGTAGGTCGTCTCAAAGCAGTTCACAAATCAAGGCCTTTGCAACCAGCAAATATCGTTCTCAACTCCCTGAGGAGCATACAGCCGGTGCTGCCATAAATTCTAGCACTGCCCAACCACGTACTCATTTACAGCTGAGTAGACTGGAACAAGCGGAGTAAAGTATCTTGCTCAAGGATACAAAACAGTGCCGTGCCGTGCCTCGAACCCGCAACCCTTTGGTTTGGAGGCGCGGTAGTCTAGTAGTAGGACGCCGGGTTCTACCACTAGACTACCGCGCCTCCAAATTTACCTCATACCTTATATATATATATATATATATATTTAAACCGTACTTCAGCCTTGTAACATATCTTCACATAACCCTCTGACATATAAATTGTAGTTAGGTACAAGCTCGTATGTGTAATTTCTTAGTCAATTTCACAGTCAATTTCTCTCAACAAGAACTCTGATTGTAGCCCACTGTATCAGTTAGCGATATTTGAAGAAAGGTCAATATTTGACCCACTTCACGCATGTCGAGCCAGACAACCCTGTTACAGAACAATACTTAGAGCTCCTACTTACCCTAGCAACGTTTGTTTTCAGACGACCATCCTCACAAGATAGAAGCAAACACTAGGGTTTACCTTTGCGCTTTGTCCTCTAGTGCCGTCCGTATTGATGCAAGGTTGACTGGGTGGTCTTGTCGTTTGTGAACCTCTGGTTAACCGAATATACTCCATTAGGTCCCAAAGAATTCCTGTCGGTGATGATTTCCTATAGTTACTAAGTTCAAATTACCACCTTACGAAACATAGCTTTGATCCTAACTTTTGAATGTTTAAAAATGTCAAATGTCATATCTACGAGTATAAACGGAAGTAACGTTGTCCTGGTATATCATTTGAAGTTGTTAAAATTGACCAATTAAAAATACAACAGATTGATTTTGATATGATTATCATACATCCGGTTGTGGTGATACATTTAGAAATATAAAGTATGGTTATTATAAGTTTTACCTAGATAGTTATGGTAATCAAGTATGGTTATTACAAAACAATCTTTATTTACATAGCTCTGTTAGGTGAGTTTCAATACCTGATCGGACGATTTCAAAAGATGCAGAGTAAAATAGATGCTTTAGTTCACAAGAAAAGTTGGATGAGTGGCGGCTTTGGATCGACCCAGTTATTATTATTATAAATGTATCATAAACTGTATATATAATTCTTAAAAAACCGACATATTACGTAAATGAAGATGAATAATGAATACAAGATCATAGGTCATGTCCATACATTTTGTGGTTATATCGATAACTGTACTAAGCTAACAATACTTTGTGCACCAGTAGACATCTCGAATTACCTGTCCGTCACTGCCTAAATAGTGAATAAAGAGTTTTTTAATCAATTGTCTGGGCTGTATTTTTTGTTAAATGAAACATTTTTCTTTGATTCTGTGATTGAGGATTGTGGATCAAAGACTTTTTTCCTTACTCTGTTTTAGGCAGTCCATAAAGGTATAGAGAAACCTTCGTCGGTGATTTTGGTTGACAAATACAGCGACCTTAGCCTTTAATTACAAACTTTTTCTGTTGTTCCGTTTTGGAATATTGAAGAGTTCTTTTAGTGTTACATCACTTGTCAAGCCTAAGTATGTAGCTCAGTTTTGTTACATTCTTTAAGAGATGACGATTTATCAAAGGATACCGTATTGGTTCCTGGGATTTGTGTATACTTTGCTGTTCCTCCTTCTGTCGTCGTGTCTGGGATTGTTGACAGTCTCTGCAATATATGTTTTATAAAACGAACAGTAGACTGGTTGGTAAGTCTTATCTATTGTCGATTACTTTGTTTTGTCAATTTGATATCGCAAAGATATGTTTCAATCTCAGTGTAACACTTTCAAAATTGTCTATATTCACTGTCTGTGGATTTGTACCCTATTTTTGCGAACAAGTTTGTATAAAAATGAACGTCGTTTGTCTGAACACAGTTACGTACAGCTGTACCTCGTCTGTCTGAACACAGCTAGGTATAGCTTCCCTCGTTTGTCTGAACACATTGATGTAACACTGTACCTCGTTTGTGTTAACACAGTTATGTATAGCTGTACCTCGTTTGTGTTAACAAAGTTATGTATAGCTGTACCTTGCTTGTCTGAACACAGTTACGTATAGCTGTACCTCGTTTGTGTGAACACAGTTAACTATAGCTGTACCCCGTTTGTCTGAACAGAGTAATGTATAGCTGTACCTTGTTTGTCTGAACACAGTTGTGTATAGCTGTAACTTGTTTGTCTGAAGACAGGTATGTAAACCTGTACCTTGTTTGTCCGAACCCAAGTATGTATAGCTGTACCTCGTTTGTCTGAACACAGTTATGTATAGCTGTACCTCGTTTGTCTGAACTCAGTAATGTATAGCTGTTCCTCGTTTGTCTGCACACAGTTATGTATAGCTGTACCTTGTTTGTCTGAACACAGTTGGGTATAGCTGGAACTTGTTTGTCTGAAGACAGTTTGTCTGAAGACAGGTATGTAAACCTGTAACTTGTTTGTCCGAACCCAAGTATGTAAAGCTGTACCTCGTTTGTCTGAACGCAGTTATGTATAGCTGTACCTCGTCTGTCTGAACACAGTTTCGTATAGCTGTACCTCGTTTACATGAACACAGTTACGTATAGCTGTACCTCGTTTGTCTGAACACAGTTATGTATAGCTGTACCTCGTCTGTCTGAACACAGTTATGTATAGCTGTACCTTGTTTGTCTGAACACAGTTAAGTATAGCTGTTCCTCGTTTGTCTGCACACAGTTATGTATAGCTGTACCACGTTTGTCTGAATATAGTTAAGTGTAGCTGTACCTCGTTTGTCTGAACACAGTAATGTATAGCTGTACCTCGTTTGTCTGAACACAGTTATGTATAGCTGTACCTCGTTTGTCTGAACACAGTTATGTATAGTTGTACCTTGTATGTCTGAACACAGTTACGTATAGCTGTACCTCGTTTGTCTGAACAAAGTAATGTATAGCTGTACCTTGTTTATGTGAACACAGTTATGTATAGCTGTCCCTCGTTTGTCTGAACACAGTTATGTATAGTTGTACCTTGTATGTCTGAACACAGTTACGTATAGCTGTACCTCGTTTGTCTGAACTAAGTAATGTATAGCTGTACCTTGTTTATGTGAACTCAGTTATGTATAGCTGTACCTCGTTTGTCTGAAAACAGTTACGTATAGCTCTACCTCGTTTATTTGAACACGGTTATGTATAGCTGTACCTCGTTTGTCTGTACACAGTTATGTATAGCTGTACCTCATTTATGTGAACAGAGTTATGTATAGCTGTACCTCGTTGTCTAAACACAGTAATGTATAGCTGTACCTCGTTTGTCTGAAAACAGTTACGTATAACTGTACCTCTTTGTCTGAACACAGTAATGTATAGGTTATGTATAGCTGTACCTCGTTGTCTAGACACAGTAATGTATAGCTGTACCTCGTTTATGTGAACCCAGTTATGTATAGCTGTACCTCGTTTGTCTGAACACAGTTATGTATAACTGTGCTTCCGTTGTCTGAACACAATTACGTATAGATGTACCTCGTCTGTCTGAACACAGTTATGTATAGATGTACCTCGTTTGTCTGAACACAGTAATGTATAGCTGTACCTCTTCTGTCTGAACACAGTTATGTATAGCTGTACCTCGTTTGTCTGAAAACAGTTATGTATAGCTGTACCTCGTTTGTCTGGACACAGTTATGTATAGCTGTACCTCGTCTGTCTTAACACAGTTATGTATAGCTGTACCTCGTTTGTCTAAACACAGTTATGTATAACTGTGCTTCCGTTGTCTGAACACAATTACGTATATATGTACCTCGTCTGTCTGAACACAGTTATGTATAGATTTACATCGTTTGTCTGAACACAGTAATGTATAGCTGTACCTCGTTTGTCTGAACACAGTTAACTATTGCTGTACCTCGTTTGTCTGAACAGAGTAATGTATAGCTGTAACTTGTTTTTCTGAAGACAGGTATGTAAACCTGTACCTTGTTTGTCTGAACCCAGGTATGTATAGCTGTACCTCGTTTGTCTGAACACAGTTATGTATAACTGTGCTTCGGTTGTCTGAACACAATTACGTATAGATCTACCTCGTTTGTCTGAACACAGTTACGTATATAGCTGTACCTCGTTTGTCTGAACACAGTTAACTATTGCTGTACCTCGTTTGTCTGAACAGAGTAATGTATAGCTGTAACTTGTTTTTCTGAAGACAGGGATGTAAACCTGTACCTTGTTTGTCTGAACCCAGGTATGTATAGCTCTACCTCGTTTGTCTGAACACAGTTATGTATAGCTGTACCTTGTTTGTCTGAAAACAGTTACGTATAGCTGTACCTCGTTTGACTGAACAAAGTAATTATAGCTGTACCTCGTTTGTCTGAACACAGTTACGTATATAGCTGTACCTCGTTTGTCTGAACACAGTTAACTATTGCTGTAACTCGTTTGTCTGAACAGAGTAATGTATAGCTGTAACTTGTTTTTCTGAAGACAGTTATGTAAACCTGTACCTTGTTTGTCTGAACCCAGGTATGTATAGCTCTACCTCGTTTGTCTGAACACAGTTATGTATAACTGTGCTTCGGTTGTCTGAACACAATTACGTATAGATCTACCTCGTTTGTCTGAACACAGTTACGTATAGCTGTTCCTCGTTTGTCTGAACTCAGTAATGTATAGCTGTACCTCGTTTATGTGAACACAGTTATGTATAGCTGTGTCTTGTCTGTCTGAACACAGTTTCGTATAGCTGTACCTCGTTTATATGAACACAGTTATGTATAGCTGTACCTCGTTTATGTGAACACAGTTACGTATAGCTGTACCTCGTTAATGTGAACACAGCTATGTATAGCTGTACTTCGTTTGTCTGAACACAGTTATGTATAGCTGTACCTCGTCTGTCTGAACGAAGTTATGTAAAGCTGTACCTTGTTTGTCTGAACACAGTTAAGTATCGCTGTTCCTCGTTTGTCTCACACAGTTATGCATAGCTTTACCACGTTTGTCTGAATATAGTTAAGTATAGCTTACCTCGTTTGTCTGAACACAGTAATGTATAGCTGTACCTCGTTTGTCTGAACACAGTTATGTATAACTGTACCTCGTTTGTCTGAACACAGGTACCTCGTTTATGTAAGCACAGTTATGTATAGCTGTACCCCGTTTATCTGAACACAGTTTTGTAGGGCTGTACCTCGTTTGTCTGAACAAAGTAATGTATAGCTGTACCTTGTTTATGTGAACACAGTTATGTATAGCTCTACCTCGTTGTCTAAACACAGTAATGTATAGCTGTACCTCGTTTATGTAAGCACAGTTATGTATAGCTGTACCTCGTTTATCTGAACACAGTTTTGTATAGCTGTACCTCGTTTGTCTGAACACAGTTACGTATAGCTGTACCTCGTTTGTCTGAACACAGCAATGTATAGCTGTACCTCGTTTATGTAAGCACAGTTATGTATGGCTGTACCTCGTTATGTGAACACAGTTATGTATAGCTGTACCTCGTCTGTCTGAACACATTTTCGTATAGCTGTACCTCGTTTGTCTGAACACAGTAATGTATAGCT